AGGAAATTGCACACAGCAGATAGCAACCACTGAGCTCCACACTGCCTTCTATCCAGCAACCTGCATCTCTCCTTGATGGCTTCAGAGCAGAGCATCCAAGAGTTCAATCTCTTGGAAAGTCGGGAATCATACCTAGACTCCAGATCTCTTTGTAAACCCAAGGGGTGTGGCCCGGATTTTGGTTATGGAAAAGGACAAATGATTGGCTGCCGACTGAGCAGTCAGGAAAAGTGCAGTCATTTAAAAGAACAAAGCAGCGCCACGTGTCCGTCCCAGAGTGGCATTAAAGGGACAGCATGCTGGCACCTGTATGTGTAGAACTTAGGCTAGAGAACAAAGGGGAAAGGCTGCTGGGAGCAGGAAGGAGCAGAGTGGAGCACGCTGAAGGCACTCCCAGGTGCAAGCTGCTTTGTTAGCTTTAGCGTTGACAGCGGGATTAGACACATTTAGATCAGTGTACCGAGTGTGACTATCAGGAGGAACAAGGCAGGGCGTGGAGTCAAAGGGAAATCCAGTGCAGGGCTCTTGCTGTAAGCGTAAATATGTCTCAAATATTGGCTTTGGCCAACTCCAATTTTGTTTTTCTAAAATTTATGTTTAACTGGGAGATGTATTTTTCATTTGGTCCAAATAACAAACCTCTGTACCGTTTTCTGTTTCTTCTGTTTGTGGCCCTGGGAGGATGAGAAAAGTCAGATTTTGAAGTAGAAACGAGAGAAAGCCAGGGAAAGATGGGCCCGCAGATCCCTGGGAACACCCGGAAGTATGAAGTCACTCCATAGGCGATCCTGTGTGTGGGCAGGGCTCGGTTTCATGCTGGCCGGTGGAGCCACGCAGCCCGGTGAAATGAAAAGCAGACCATGGCATCTCAGAAGTGCCAGTCCTTTTGTGCGGGTCCTTCCTAAGATGGTCAGCAGCTGCAGCAGCCGAAAGTACGCCAGAGCAGGGGGCCGAGAACCCTGAGGAACTGGAGAAACGCCGACATTTTGAATTCTCCTTTTGCTTCTTGAGCTTGTCTGGCATTCCCCTTTAAATACCCTCTACTTTGTGCCACTTGCCCTCTCCCAAAAGACGGCACCCCCGGCCCAGCTTTACCTACAAGCTGAGACTCGTTCTATAGTCTACCAGCCAGACAGTTGAGTCTGATAGTTTGCAGTAGGAACAGACACTTCCTTGTCGGGTACTGTTAGTCATTCCTCATAAAGTAGGCTCTGGCCCTGCACCCTGCCACATCCATAGACACTCTGGAGGTTGGCGGGGGTGGGTGGGGTGTCTGATCATTCTGTAGGCTGTGGTCATGCAGCAAGAAAAGAACAGTCCCTTTGTGGAAGCAGCAACAAGATCAGGGCAGCCTGAGGCGCGGATCCCTTTTGGTTTGGAGAGAACCCTGCTGAACCCTCCTACTGTGTCTTCCTGGAACTTTTGCCTGCCTGCCGCTGCGTGACTCTCACCCCACTCTGTGGTTAAACAGCAATCACCTCTTTCTCTCTCTAAAGGTTTCTGTGGGTCAGGAGTTTCCAAGAGTTCAGGAACAAACTCTGATGCAACAATTTACTGTACAGTGTGCTCAGGAGAGACAGGGACAGGATGCGGGCTAGCAGGTGAAGGCAACAGAAGGAACAGGAGAGTTCTGCCCAGACCGAATTTTGCTGGTTCTGTAGGCAGCTCAGGGAGCCTTATTTGTCTCAGTTATCCTAGTGGGGTTTGTCTGGTTCTTGGCCAGCCTGGGCATGGGAGGGCTGCCGTGCCGGGAATCACAGAGACCTAACTCAGTGCACAGCTCCGCACTTCACAGTGTTTCTCAGGCGAGCCACTTGGTTTGCAAAGGGAAACCAATCTGTATACATATCGTTTTTTGAGGACTTAGTAAAATTATGCAGATAAAGTTTTTACCTCAGTACCTGGTACCACTGTGTGAACAGGACTGTAATCATTCTTTGGAACAGAAAGTGTCCAAAATATGCGGCTACTTTTGTGTCTTCTAAATCCTACCCAGCAAATTCTTAAAATGAGCAGAGGAAATCCCTTTACTACTCAAAGCAAACGAGAGGGCTGGGTCCATATCATCACACTTAAACGATGTTGGGAGAGCCAGTGGTAGCAGCCGTACCTCCCTAACTCCTTACTAGAAATCTTACTAAAACCCGGGTACTAGAAACTTCTAAATCAGCCCATATAGATAAAGGCCACTCATTTATTTCCCAGCCACCCAAATCTGAAATAATCACTCAGAAACTGTATTAATAGTCATTGCTTGACCAATCACTTAAGCATATTGCTAGCTAGCTACTATATCTTAAATTAACCTATGTCTATTAAAATGTGTATTGTCACGTGACTGTGACTTATCAGGCAAAGTTCCAGCGTCTGTCTCCTGTGGTGGCTACATGGTGTCTCACCAACTCTGCTTTCTTTCTTCCAAAATTCAGTTTAGTTTTTCTGCCAGCTCTATTCTGCCTTATTACAGGCCAGAGTAGTTTCTTTATTCATTAACCAATAAAAGCAAAACATATGTAGAAGGACCTCCCACACCAAGCCCACTCGTCAGGATACTTTGTGCTAGCCTCTTAGGGTTGACCCTTCTTTCTTGTTTGTTCTCTCCAATGTTATGTTTTCATTTGTTATTTTATTGTCTTGGTGGCAATAATCACATCTCAAACTTGCATAACTATGGCCTTAAAAGTGATTCAGCTATGTAAGAACACGAGAACAGCTTACAGGAATATATATTCTCACCCCCTCTCCTTAAACACATACCTGCTGTAATACAAAAGTTGATATGCTTGATTTAGTCATTTCATCATGGTTCAATATATCAAAACCTCATGGTGAACATCATAAATATGTACAACTTTTGTTAATAACGTAATAAAATAAGGAAGGTGTTTGGAGCGTAGTTCAGTGACACAGCACTTGCTGGCTTTGGGTAAGGCTTGGATTCTGTACAAAGCAGCACAAACAACAACAACAAAAATAAAAGGAGTAAGGAATGTGGGGAGGAACAGCAGGCTGGCTATTGCCAATCTGAAATGTTTGGAATGGAATGTTCTAGAACTCAGAACTTGAAGGAATGAGCATTTTAGAAATTTTTAATAAACATAATGAGATAATCTAAACATAAAATTTTCCGTATGTTTCTCATTCCCCTTCTAGAGACCTGAAGATGATTATCTGCAGTACTTTTAGTATGCCTATGCTTCCATTGCAGGTCAGGTACTGGATTTTCTACTTGTGACATCCGCAGAGTTTTGAATGGTAGTTAGCCTGCATTAACTTTGCAAAATGCAAAATGAATTCTAAAATATATGTGGTGTAAGAGAACAAAACCCATGTGTGTACCTGTCAGTTACTTAATCCAACATTGCGTCGAGCCCTCCATTGGCTTCTCAGTGGATGTGGATGGGATCCCCACTCTTTCTCGGGACCCCAGCTGCTGTTTTCTCTCTCCTGCACCTTCATTCTTCCTTCCCACTCTCCAGTGTTCTGCTGAGACCCCCACCCAGTCCTCTCTTCCTCTGGGGAAAAATTGTACTTGTTTTTTTTTATTGCTTTTATTGAGCTATATATTTTTTATCTGCTCCCTTCCCTTCCCCTCCCCTCCCCTTCTACCCTTTCCCATGGTCCCCATCCTCCCAATTTACTCAGAATATCTTGTCTTTTTCTACTTCCCATGTAGTTTAGATCCATGTATGCCTCTCTTAGGGTTCTCATTGTTGTCTAAGTTCTCTGGAATTGTGAATGACAGGATGGTTTTCTTTGCTTTGTGTCTGAAAGCCACTTATGAGTGAGTACACATGATATTTGTCTTTCTGGGTATGGATTACCTTACTCAATATGATGTTTTCTAGATCCATCCATTTGCCCACAAATTTCGAGATATTGTTATTTTTTTCTGCTAGGTAGTACTCCATTGCGTAGATGTACCACATTTTTCTTGCCCATTCTTTGTTCGAGGGGCATTCCAGGTTCTGACTATGACAAACAATGCTGCTATGAACATAGCTGAGCACATGTCCTTATGGTACGAGTTAGCATCCTTTGGGTATACACCCAAAAGTGGTATTGCTGGGTCTTGAGGAAGGTTGTTTCCTGGTTTTCTGAGAAATCATCACACTGACATCCAAAGGGGCTGTACCAGCTTGCACTTCCAGCAGCAATGGAGGACCGTTCCCTTTCCCCCACATCCTCTCCAGCATAAGTTGTCATCAGTGTTTTTGATCTCGGTCATTCATACAAGTATAAGATGAAATCCCAGAGTTGTTTTGATTTGCATTTCTCTGATGTCTAAGGACATTGAGCATTTCCTTAAGTATCTTTCAGCCATTTTAGATTCCTCTGTTGAGAATTCTCTGTTTAGGTCTGTTCCCCATTTTTTTTTATTGGATAATTTGTTCTTTTGCTAATCAATTTCTTGAGTTCTTTGCATATTTTGGAGATCACACCTACGAACACCTGATTTTTGACAAGAAGCAAAAAATATCAAATGGAAAAAAGAAAGCATAGTCAACAAATGGTGCTGGCATAACTGGATTCAACATGTAGAAGAATGAAAATAGATCCATATCTATCGCCATGCACAAAACTCAAGTCCAAATGGATAAAGGATCTCAATATAAAGCCAGTCACACTGAACCTCATAGAAGAGAAAGTGGGAAGTACACTTGAACGCATTGGCACAGGGAACCACTTCCTAAATAGAACCCCAGTAGCACCGACACTGAGAGAAACTATTAATAAATGGGACCTCCTGAAACTGAAAAGCTTCTGTAAAGCAAAGGACATGCTCAGCAAGACAAAACGACAGTCTACAGAATGGGAAAAGTTCTTCACCAACCCCACCTCGGACAGAGGGATGATCTCCAAAAATTGTAGTGTAAATGCCTGCTGGAATATTCTTTATCCCCTGTTGTTTACTCTTTTCTTCCTGAGTGAGAAGAATCAAGGTAATAATGACTTTATTCCAAAGAGAGATGATATCACAACTTAAGGGTATGGAGAAACAGAAACGCTATTCAGAGACACATAGGGAAAAGCCTGCAGCTCCATTTCCCACTCCTCAAGGGGGAGAGGAGGATAAAGCCATGAGATCTCATGAAAGGAACTGACAGTCCCAGTCAAACCCACAGTTCTGGTACACCTTCAAATCAGCAAGGCGATTTGATGTAACAATGAATCTTTCTGTGTCCCAGGCCAGCATCAGAGAAGAGATCCATTTTGTAACTCCTCATATCTCCAAGTGAGATAGCTGGGCAGAGTGTTGAGACAGGCTGCTTGTTTAAGACTGAACTACTCTGCAGAAGAGAAGATAAGGAACAATCCTAAGATTATTGGATTAGTGGAAACGTGCTGGCATCATTCCAGCTAGGTAAAGACAACCATGAGAGGTAGTCCTGGAGAGGGGGAAGGCTAGGCACAGACACCCCGAGTTTAGGTGGGGGGGGGGCTCAGGCACTGAGAGCCCAATGGTCTTAGGCCATGGCCTTTGTTGAAAGAAACAAATATACGGATAATAGCAGAAACTATTGGGAAAGACCCAAGCTTGTGGCCAGAGACTGCACTCCCTACCTACTGTGTGATTTCAGGACCTGGACGAAAAAAGCAACAGCATAAGCAAGAAATTCAGCAAGGAATTTGAGATTTTTTTTTTAAATAGAAATATTGTAAATAATCCAGTGAATTAGATGGAAAGAAGAGTGGGAAGCATTACCAACAGACTAGGTCAAGCAGAAGAGAGAATATTACATTCAGTTAACAATGAAGAAAAAGATCAAGCAAGTAGAATTCCACCTTCGAAAGTCCACACCTAAGAATTTAGATGGAGCTAAGATTAAAAAAAAAAAAATCGAGTATCTAATAAATGAATTTGAAATCTAGGGAAGAGATGGATATCCAAGGATGGGGGAATTTAAAACTTAAGCAAATGCGGCCAGAAAGAGCAGTCTCCGTAACTCGGCATCATTAAAATGTCAGTACTAAGGAACAATGGTAAATACTAAAGCTGTAAGAGAAAAATGTCAGCCAGAAAGTCAAGCTTATTAGAAAGTCGCCAGTTTCCTAGCAGAAACAACGAAAGCCCTGGAAAAAAATTACTGCAGCCAAGAGAACTGTATTCAGCAAAACTGTCTCTTAAAACTGATGGAGAGAGCCGGGCAGGTGGCACACGCCTTTAATTCCAGTACTGGGGGGCAGAGGCAGGCAGATCTCTGTGAGTTCAAGGCCAGCCTGGTTTACAAGAGCTAGTTCCAGGACAGCCAGGACTATTACACAGAAAAATCTTGACTCGAAAAAACAAACAAAAACAAACAAACAAAAACAAAAACAAAAAAAAACACCTGATGGAGACATAAAGATATCCTAAGGTAAACATAAACTAAAGCTACTCACTACTAGTAAGCCAGGGTTGCAGAAAACACTTTTAAAAATCCCACACACGTGGGGCTGGAAAGATGGCTCAGTAAAGGAGCATGCTACTCTTGCAGAAGGCCCAAGTTTGGTTCCCAGCACCCAGTCAGATGGCTGACAACCACCTATAAATCCAGCTCCAACAGCTCCCATGAGGACCTACACCTGGATGGTCCATACACACACACACACACACACTACATGAGAGACTGAGGGAAGTGGAGGGGGGGAGCGAGAGAATAATGTTTTCTAAAAATATAAAAAAGAAGCCCATACACGGAGAAAGAAGAAAGGCTGCATAAGTACACTCAGGACAGGATGCTCATGAAGGAGCAGATGAACAGATGAGAACAGGAGAGGACCAGCAAGCACAGCCCAGCAAATCCAGCAGACCCCTAAGACGGCAGGTACTAGAGGAAAACAAAGACTACAACCACAGAAATCAACAAGTACCTCTCCATCCTAGTCCTAAATGTAAACGGCCTAACTCAACAATAAAACAAGCACCTCTCCATCATAATCCTAAATGTAAATGGCCTAACTCAACAATAAAAAGATGCAGACTAATTATGTGGATTAAAAAACAAGATCCAGGGGCTGGAGAGATGGCTCAGTGGTTAAGAGCATTGCCTGCTCTTCCAAAGGTCCTGAGTTCAATTCCCAGCAACCACATGGTGGCTCACAACCATCTGAAATGCGATCTGATGCCCTCTTCTGGCCTGCAGGTAGACACACAGACAGAATATTGTATACACAATAAATAAATAAAAAATAAAAAAAAGAGTTAAAAAAAAAAAAAAAAACAAGATCCAACAGCATGTTCTGTGTAAGAATCTCACTCCACTGGCAAAGACATACAGAGACTGAGAAGAAATGAAGGAAAACAATATACCCAGCAAGCAAAGGGCGCTTATTCATACTTTACAAAGCAGAATTTAAATCAAAATTAGTCAGAAGAGCAAAAGGGGTCACTACATATTAATAAAAGGTAGAGTTCATCTCAATTAGAAGACATGATTGGGACAATGCATCAAGTGACTTAATGGACTTCTACAAAATATTCCACCCAATGACTGAGAAATATATGCATTTTTATCATCAGTCCATGCACCTTTCTCCAAAATGAAGTAATGTTTTTGGTCATTAACCAAGTATTAAAAAATATCAAACAACAATAGAATGAGAATTGAAATCAGTAGTAAGAGAAACTACACAAAGATTACACAGTAAACTCTTGAGTGGTCAGGAGAGCCATGAAGAAATCAGGAAATTTAACAACTCTTAGAATCAAATAAAAATTAAAATACAAATTAGCAGAACCTTTATAATACAGAAAAACAGTTCTAAGATGGATGTTTATAGCTATGAGTGATTACAATTAAAACAAGAAAGAGAACACTGAAGAAGGAAACTGAAAAAGTTATCAAAAGACAGAGAAATCTCCCATGCACACACACACACACACACACACACGAAGTACAAAAAATGTAAAACAAAACAAAAACAGATAGCTAAAACAATCCTGAATAATAAAAGAACTGCTGGAGGTCTCTCCCTCTCTGGATTCAAGTTGTACTTCAGAGCTATAGGAACAAAAACTGCTTGGTGACGGCACAAAGACAGATACATGGGCTAATGGAGTAGAACTGAAAACCCAGATCTAGTCCACACCTATGGACACCTGAATGTGATAAGGAAGGCAGAAATATATGATGGGAAATGAAAGCTTCTTCAACAAATGGTGCTGCTCAAACTGGATGACTGTATGTAGAAGAATCGTAATAGAACCACACTTAGCACTTTGCACAAAACTCAACTCCCAGATGAATGAAAAACCTCAACATAAAACCAGATACTCTAAACCTGACAGAAAAGAAAGAGGGGAATCATTTTCAACTCATTGGAACAGCAAAAGACTTTCTGAAAAAAAAAAAAAAACTAATGGCATAAGCACTAAGATCAGCAATGAATAAATGTTACCTCATAAAACTGAAAAGCGTCCAAACAGCAAAGGACACCATCATTTGGACAAAGCAGTGAAATATATTATTTTTTTTTAACCAACTACATATCCAATAGAGGAATAATATCCAAAATAAAGAACTCAAACCCCAATGGATATAAAGAAAACAAATAGTCCAAGATTTTCTTCTGTTTTGTTTGTTTGTTTAATTGGTTGGAAGGTTTGATTTTTTGAGTATTGATCAACAGTATGGCCACATGTATTTGAATGAAGTGTGTTCTCACTCTGCACAAAACCCAACTCCGGATGGACAGGGACCTCAGGGGAAGATCAGAAGAGAAAGGGAAACTAAATTTGAACTTACTGACACAGGAAGAAAACTTCTGAGCAGGACACCTGTAGGCCTGGCATTAACAGCAGCAATTGAAAAACAGGCCCTCATACGACTAAAAGGTCCCAGCACAGCAACAGACAGCACATTCCAGTGAGGAGGTAGCCTACAGAATGATAAAAAAAAATCCTTACAGCTGTGCATCTGACAAAGTGCTGGTTTCTAGAACACAAAAAGAACTCAAAGAAAAAGAGAAACACTAAGAAAGCAAACAACCCAATTATAAACATGGGGCATGCAAATAATAGAGTAGTTCTCAAAAGACCAAACACGAATGGCTGATTAATAACCTTGAAGATGGTCAGCATCCTTAGTAATCAGGAAAATGCAACATGGAGCAAGGGGAATATGTATGCACTGTTGATGGAAGTACAAGCTGGTGCAGCCACTGTGGAAATCACAGAAGTAAGACTAGATCTACCATGTGGTCCAGCTGCCACTTCTCAGCACACCCCAGGACTCCATATCTGTAGGAACAGTTGCTCATCCATCTTATCGCTGTTCTAGTCACAGGAGCCAGGAAGTGGAAACAGACTAGACAGGGGTTTGCAACCTGGGCGGCACAACCTTCCACATGGAAGCACTGGACAACACAGATGTTTGCATTAAGATTCATAGCAATAGCAAAATTACATTTAAGACGTAGCAATGGAAATAACTTTATGGTTGGCGGTCATCACAACATGAGAAACTGCCTTAAAGGGATGCAGCATTAGGAAGGTTGAGAACTGTTGGTCTAGATGTTCATTAACTATGAACAGATAATGAAAGTGTAGTATAATTACACAATGGAGCATTATTCAGTATAAAGAATGAAATTACAAATTAACGAAGATAGAAAAATAATTTTGATTGGAGTAACCAAGACCCAGAGAGATAAACACATGTACCCTCTATTATGTGGGCAATATATTTGAACCTTCAGATATGTGTGTGCTTAAATTGGAGTACACATAGAGGCTAGAAAACTGGTAAGAAGCCATGCAGGGAAGGCAGACAGAGCACAGATTACAATACAAAGTGGGAAGAGGAGTAACGGAGCAAAGCGGTTAGCCGGGGTGGGAGATGGGAGTCCAGGGTAGAAGAGAGAGTCTGGGGAAGGATAACTAAAGACATGTGTGTGTGTGTGTGTGTGTGTGAGAGAGAGAGAGAGAGAGAGAGAGAGAGAGAGAGAGAGAGAGAGAGTAATGGAATTACTATAAATTGGAGGGACAAATGCCTTCCAGTAATCTATGCATGCTATGCACTCTGCTAGAGGAGAATTTAATCAACAGTCTCACCAGCTGTGACCTCTGCGAGCTGCAATGATGATGGACATGACCAGATGTGCATACGCTGTGCAGTAACGTCACGAGTGCTATGACAGCAAACAAACTCTGTTCGCTTGCATTGAAAGCCTGCTCCACGAGATGAAGCTCATCCTGCCACTAGTGACTGAGTCAGAAACCTGACATGTTAGGTCATAGGTCCTGTGGAGAGCCTAACACTCTTATTGTGCCAAATGAGCAAAGTATCATACTGCTTCCTGAATTCTAATCTTTGTATTCGTATATTAGCGCATTTCTGAACCCTTATCAGAGAGAAGTCTCTTTTTGCAGTACCTGGCTATTAATACAAAGACCATAGTTAGTCAACACGTAGAGGATGAGAGACTGTGGGAGGCTAAATGGAACATCTGTATCACACAACCCCTCAGGGCAAGGCTCAGGGATCAGTGCACAAGAGAGGAATGGAAAGACTGTAAGGGGCAGCAGTCGTGAACATTTCCACTGAAACACTATTATCTGAGAAGGACGGAGCCACTGCACGTGTGAACTCGCAGCAACTGTGACCGTGTGCACAGTCCTACACAAGATCAAGTCAGCTACGGACAGAGGAAGGACATATAAAGTCCCACCAGTGGCTGAGAGACTATTGGCAAGATGGCTGTCGGGGTGTGGGAGAAAGTTCTTCACAGATGTGGCCCCTAAAAGGCTATGTGTGCTCTAGTAGATGCTATTTCAGCCCCACACCCAGCACTAAACAGACTCGGTGGGAGAGAGAGCACATGAAACTGGAAGGAAAAAGTGGTAGGGGTGGGGACCACTGGAGGGGAGGGGTGGAGTATGGACTTTATCAAAACACATTACATGGATGTCTGAAATTGTCAAACAAAAAATTTTTTAAAAGCTTGGCAGAAGGGTGGGAAGCAGAAAGTTATGTTTGAACTTAAAGTGTGACCTCCAAAAGGTTTTGCCCCAGCTGCTGGAAATACCTTGGGAAGTCCTGAAAAATTTAGGATGTGGTGATGGTGGCGCACGCCTTTCATCCCAGCACTCGGGAGGCAGAGGCAGGTGGATCTCTGTAAGTTCGAGACCACCCTGGTCTACAGAGCTAGTTCCAGGACAGGCTCCAAAGCTACAGAGAAACCTTGTCTCGAAAAACCAAAAAAAAAAAAAAAAAAAAAATTAGGATGCGGGGAATTAGCTAGAGGAAGTAGGCCACAGGGATAGATCTTTGGTTATGTTTTGATGTTCTCTCTTTCTCTCCTCCTCCCCTCATCCCCCTTTTCTTTATATTTGCAACAACAAAAGATAAATAAACAATCCTATTCGGCTACAGGCTCTGGCACCATGATGCTCTGTCCCAGTGCACTGGCCCAGGCAAAGTGAACTGACTTCTCTGAAACCGTGAGCGAAGTCAGTCCTGCTCCATCTGTCAAGTGTTTTTGTTACAGCAACACAGAAGCAGCTAACTTAGTCTTCTCAAAAGATGCATGGGCAGAAATCTAAATAAAAAGTGAAAAATCTATGCATGCAAAAGCAGCAAAGAAAGACCCGGAAGCAGACACCAGAAGGTGAAAAGCTGAGCTTCTGACCGTAGATTAGCAAGATCGATGCTGTGAAAGTGGCCATATTCCCAAGGCCATCTACAAGTTCCGTGCAATTCTCACCAAAATCCCAATGACATTCTCCATAAAGACAGAAACAACAACCCTAAAATCCATATGGAAATACAAAAATTTTAAACAGGATGAATAAGGCTGGCAACATCAAAATACCTAATCTCAATTCACATTGCACGGCCGTGGCAACAGCAAGAGCACTGTACTGCACAAACACAAATATGTAGATTAGTGCAGGAGAATAGAAGACCCAGAAATAAGCCCTCACTGGCATGGCAACCTGAGTCTCAACAAAGGAGCCAAAAACAAGGAGAAAAGACAGTCTTTTCTACAAACAGTGCTAGCAAACAGGCTATCCACATATGAAAAGTGAAATCGGTTCCTTCTCCTCTTCCACTTAAGTCAGTTCAAATGGATCAACAAACTTAATGTAAGTGCCGAAACACTGCAATTGCTAGAGGAAACCTGTGGCGTAAAGACAGACAGTGCCTTTCCTTTAAGGTTTTGTATCTTTTCCTAAGATTTATTTTATTTTGTATTAAATTTAATAAAGATATAATTGGATCTTTCTCCTCCTTCTCTTCCCATCTACTCCCTCTTTCAAATTCATGACTTTTTTTTCTTTAATTGTAGTTATTTTATATACACACATACAAATACAACCTGCTGAATCTGTTTAGTGTTGCTTGTACGTATATGTTTCGGGCTGACCACTTTTTATCGTATAACAAATCAGATGGCTAATCTTCTCCAGAAGCATTGGATCCCCTTGGAGCTAGAGTTACAGGCAGTTGTGAGTTGCCTAATGAAGGAGGTGGGAATTGAACTTGGATTCTCTGCAAGAGCAGTACATGTGTTTAACCTCTGAGCTATCTCTCCAACCCTCTTGCTTTTGGTTTTTGAGACAGTCTCACTATGTAACCCACCTAGGCCTTGAACTTGTAAACTTCCTGCATCAGCCTCCTGAGGTCTGTGATCACTGGCGTGTATCACCGACACAGCTGGCAATGACCTGAGAAGGAAATGCTTTATTTACCAATAAAATTAAATAATTCTGCATAGCGAAGGACAATTAACAGAGAGAAGAGACAAGAGCTTTGGCTACCAGGGAGATACAAATCAAAGGTACAGTGAGATTCCATCTCATCCCCACCAGAACAGTGACCACCACAAAAACCACCACAAATACTGGTGAGGACATGAGGGGGAGCCTTTATTCCCTTTGCAGGGATGTAAATTAAACTAGACAATATGGAAATCAGTATGGAAGTTCTTCAGAAAATAGAACTGTCATATGGTGCAGCTGTAGCATTTCTGGATATCTGTGACAGAATCCAAGTCAGTAAACTGCAGAAACTTTTGTATGGCTGTGTTCACCAACGGTACTCACCAGAGCTCAGCTGTGGAACCAGTCTGCTGTTCGCTGAGATGAATGAATAGAAATGTACATACGCAGTGGAATATTAGTTACCCATAAAGAAGAAGAAAGTCGTGTTGTCCACACACAGAAGGATGAAACTGAGGATCATCGTGTTGAGTGAAATACGATAAATTCAGAAAGAGAGTACTGTGTGTCTTCTTTGGCATCTGTTTTTGCAAAGGGATAGGAAGAGGAGGGCATAAAAGTAAAAGGGGGAGTAAGGAGACTAGGATGAGAAGGGGCAGGGTAAGAAAAGACAACGGGAGGTGGATATAATCCCAATATGATAAAAACACGTATGAAAATACCAAAATGAAATTCTTTGTTTTGTACAATTAATTACAGAGAGAAAAATGGAGAAGCACTTGAGGTTGAACAACATTGGGCCTGCATGAAACAATGCATGTGGCTCTTAGCAAACAGACGAGTGATTTAAGTTGCACAGTGATGCTAATTTCGTGGGTTAATAAAAAGTCTCTCAGTCTCTTCAGGGTCATTCGTAGACACGAGGACTGGAAGAAAATAAGTAAGGGAATTTTGAAACCAAGAATAAAGCATTCCATTTTCCACAGGAATATTTGTTGGCACTCAGGATTATTTCCACATAATACTAAGCTTTGAGATGACCTCATTTCCACCATGAGAACCTTTCCAAGGTGTCTGGGTGTGGCACCCATCTGGTAAAATGACACACTACACCGGGCAGCCTCCAGAACTGGCCATTTTCCAGCAGCCTGCCTGCTTCAGAAAGGGCAGCATCTGCAGGCCCTGTGTTTCTGCCCTGCAGAGCGAAGGGAGGAGCTGCCTGAGTTTGGTGGTTAGTGCAGCAGACTGAGTCAGCAAGCTTCGTTTCTGTATTTGGCTGTCACTTACTGAAACTGTGGTCAAACCAGCTGTGTGTCATAAAAGAAGTCTTTGTTCTGCTATGCAACTTTCCCGAACTTCTATGTGAATGCCATTTTCATTGCTACTGGTTTGAAGTTCTGAAACCCGTCTCTGGAATTTTCTTCCTTATATATTTTTTTCTCAGTAATAGTCTAGTTTTTAATAAATCATCAAAATAAGAAACAGAAAAATAAGGGAGAAAAAAGCAAGTGCCAAGGCTTTGGAGACCTACACACGTGGGTACCCACAAGCTGGCAGGGCCATGTGTGCGGAAGACAGTGAAGAAGGCACTGGCTTTGAGCCTAAGCAAATTCAAGGCTTTACATAAAGGCCAATAAATGACAATGAAAGCAGTAGTCTACTATAAATCAGAATCAGTTCTTTAATTTATTCACGAGGATTGACTAGAACAAATGCTTCCCTGCCTCAGATACTGGATACAAAGGGCAAAGATGTGATCCCTGTTAGGTAATGAAACTGCCTACTGGGGGGAAATATTGTGTGGCATAGAAGCTTCCCGAACCAGATGACCAACATGTTCACTGTCATGAGGCCGTCTTTGTCTGCTGCCCGGGGTAGACGTTGCAAGCTGAGCTCAGCAAGTGTTTTAGGGGCTCTAACTGAAAAGTGAGAACTTTTAAATGTCTTAGAATGATTTCATTGCAACAATGTATGAGGATGTTCTTCAAACTAGAAAATAATCTGAATTAAATTCAGAATCTTAAACATCTGTAAGTAGGAAACTGAGGAAGCACAAGATTACCTAAACTAAATAGCGTTCAGGGAGAAGAATACAACTTGAATCTCCTCGTATTTACTTGGGTTTAAAAGAAAACGAGCAATGTCAAGAGCATGGCATGGTAATCCTGGATATAACATATTTGGCTGCATTTCATATTAATGTGTAAAGAATTCTTTTAGAACACCAGAGTAAAATATTAACATAAATATTCCATTGGCGTGAGACTTCCATGGGTGTTTATTTCAGTCCTTGCACTCTTCTGCAGTATTTCCTAGTATAAATATATTATTAAAATATTAATCAAGCTACTTGTATTATACTATTTGAATTTTTCTTATTATAAGTATACACAAAACTCAAGCAATTCAATATGACTCCATTCCCAAAAGATAAATAATATCGGCATTGTTCTATAGTCTTCTACATATGTATATACATAGATTAACATACAAAATGGGTCAAGAGTGTATATGACATTTGATAGCCAAGCCATTTTTTATTTTTCACTTTACAATGTATTCCTTTTAGAGTGATTTTTTTCTGTTGATATTAGTATTTTTATCTTTGTAATTCCTGCTAGAATTTTTCTGTATAGATGCGGAATGCTTATGTAACCAACCCCTCTTTCTAGAAGGTTGTCGTTTCCAGCTCTCGGCTAGTGCAAACAGCACTCACCAGCCAACGTCCACCTGCCAGGAGAGCTGTCTCTGAGGCACGTGCAGAGGCTGAACCTGCCTGTCCACCCAATTGCTTCCTGGGTTGCAGGAAATACAGTGCAGTCTCCCAGCCACGGCCACCTCCACATGCTCATGGAAAACCAGCTTGGGCAGTTGGGTTTGTTGCTTCAGTTCCCAGATCTGAGCCACGTAAGCATTCCAGATTTTATTAAACCATTGGTACTTTGAGGAGATTTTTAAAAGACACTGTGTCCAGGTACTGTCCAGGGTTCTGGGATGAGGATTCCAAAAGGGCAGCTTCTCATTCGCATCACTGAAAGTGAAAGCAGGGTTGTTTTCTCTCTCTCTCTCTCTCTCTCTCTCTCTCTCTCTCTCTCTCTCTCTCTCTCTCTCTCTCTCTCTTTTCTCGAATTTTGAAGAGGCATCTAGTGCTTCCTACTTAAGACCCTTGGTGGCTTTCCTGACCTTCAGACTTACCCGGACCTCTCCTGAGCAACTACAGAGCTCCACGTGCTCGGCTCCCCGCTCAAGTCGTAGGCAGCTTATAGTCTGCCCTACGTTGCTTTCTTCCGAGCGGCTCGTCACCCGTGGCCCTCGGTCCCCATCTGTGGTTCCCGTAACCGCTTATCTCTTCACCTGGAATACTCTGGGCCCAGATATTTGCCTGACTACCCCTGTCCACCACTCAGGACTGGTTCAAACATGACCTTTGAAAGCCTTCCCTAACCACCCCATCATGTGGCTTCTCCTCCACTCCCTCTGTATCACGTGATGTGAGCGTGCTGTTCCCAGCTGTCTGTATCCTAGGCCCGCTCTTTGGCCTGTGCCTGTTCCATCTCCTCACTCTGGAGTCAGCTCGGGAGAAAGAACCTGCCCATCCTGTGAACTTGCTCTCTGTGTTATCACTGTGCACCTTAAAACATAATAATAAAATCATAAAAAATACATTAGCTTTTCCAAAGACACTATGTTCTTGCCAGAAATTTTCCAAGTGTGCAGTGTGGGAAGAGGCTGTGAGGAAGAAGAGGGCTGGATTGTAAGGAAATGCTCCCTGCGGTGTGTTGACAGAGCCTGACAGACCAGATGTCACAAGACTCCAGTCATTTGTCTGCCCTGGTGTGGCAGTGGTGTGACCAGCTGGAGTCATAGCGCTCTGCATTTCACAACCTTGCAAAATACACATGGCTCAGCTCTCCAAACCAGTCTGTCAGCTTCAGCGGGTCTTCTCACCCACAGCCCAGAAAAGTCAGCTCTGTGGGGAGAAAACTGGGGGGAAACCAAAGGAAGGAAACACAGGAGCAGGCTGCAGTTACTCTCCTGAATCAACAGACAACACAGCGACGTTCACTGATTTTAAAACAGCAGGGACTGCTGGCTTGACAGACTTAAAAATTTCAGTGTTAATAAAAATACATGATTTTTAACCTTTTTGCAAACGCCAATACCAGCGTTTTGAGGAAACAGCTAATGACATTAAGACTGATGGAAGCAGGTCAGCAGTATAGGAAATACAACCATTGTGGAGGTAACAGAATAGCCCAGGCCTCTCAGACATGATCCACCATGTCTACTCCTACTTGGACACTAATTGTCACCTTCAGATGCCAGTAATGCTCAAGGACATAATCCAGTCTGCGGGGCAAAGGGTGGTGCTGGAGGGCAGCCTGTGAGAGGAAGAAAGCTATCACTGAAAAGTGTGTGTGTGTGTGTGTGTGTGTGTGTGTGGTATGTGTGGTGTATGTATGTGGGTGTATGGTGTGTGTGATGTGTGCTGTGTATGTGTGTGTGTGAGAGATGTATGGTGTGTGTGTGTAGTGTGTATTGTGTGGTGTGTGTGATGTGTGTGTGATGTGTGGTGTGTGTATGTGTGATGTGTGTGTGTGGTATGTGTGTGTAATGTGTGGTGTGTGTATGTGTGATGTGTGTGTGTGTGGTATGTGTGTGTGATGTGTGGTGTGTGGTGTGTATGTGTGTGGTGTGTGTGGTATGTGTGTGTGTGGTGTGTGTGATGTGCCAGGGTGTATATGACACAAAAGCAAATGGGAGACCATTAGGGGAAAAGGGGGTCCAAAGGTAAGGGAGAGGAGGGAACAAGGCGGGGTAATGGAGGTTAAAGAGAAGACAGACGTGTTTTCTCTCCTGTGTGGATCTATATCTAAATACAGACATAAAAACAAAAAGAGGGAGAATGAAGGAGACCAAGAAGAGGAAAGGTAAAAGAGGGTAATAAAGGCAACTGTGAACCAAGTGCAATGGATGTACGTGTGAAAATGTCATAATGAGACGGTTTCAGCGAGCACTCTGTTAACTGAAACTGTTACTAAGAGAAAGGGGCGAAGGGTGTGGCCCCGCTGGAGCAGTGCTTGCTCAGCTGGCCTGCATCCCGGACCGCGCTGTGTACTCTCCTAATCTCAGTACTTCAGAGACGGAAGCAGGAGGGCTGAGAGTTCAAGACCATGCTATCATACAGCCAGGCTCAAAGAGGGGTGTGTAATCCAAACATGACATCAGTTACCTCAGTTCTTACTCGTTTCTCTTTGGAGAGGGGAAGGGTTGAGCATGGCATGCCATCTTACTGGTGACAATTATGTCTAAGCTGCACTGTGCTCCACAAAGAACCTAGGTTCTTATATTTTAGGTTGTGAGCCTAGCCTTTAATGGCTGAGCCATCTCTCCAGCCAGAAAGGCCCCAGTATCGAGGGTGTAGTCAAGCCAGAGGCCTCAAACCAGACCAATTACTATCCGAAATGAACACTTACAAGTACAGATACACGGACTAAAGAGTGCCACAGTACAGCTTCCATGCCAATGTTTTGTTTTTGGTTGGTTGGTTGGTTAGTTGATTGGTTGGTTTGTTGGTTGGTTTTGGTTTTTGGTTTTCTTTTAAATTTTATTTTGGAGTCAGGTTGCAAGGGCAGAGGACAGATACGAAGAGATGGGGAGGTGTAGGGGATCAGGGTGCATGATGTGAGATCCACAGAGAATCAATACAAATAAATAAGTAACTGTAAAAGCTAAAAAGAAGAATAGCAACGTGGGTTCCATTCGTTTGAACAGGCGTTGCTTTTCAGCTGTGTGCTCCTCCTCCACATGGGCCCAGATGGACAACCCATTTCCAGGCAGAGCAGCGCCAGATGGCTACCATTACCAGCTGAAGAACAGGCCATGTCCCTCTCTTCCTGTTCACACATCTGCATCCCGGTCACCAAGCACAAACCTCTTATGAGTATGGAAGAGACTTGATAAAAATTACATAAAGGTACAAAACACTATTCTAAAAAATGAATTAAAGCAACATCATAAAGGATCATAAGTAACGCTAAAATGAGTTAAGTAAGCATTTCATAGATAAGAAGCATTTTGCTTATTAATGGATTTATTTGGCAATGACTGAAGTACTGCCATTTGAGGTCTCTACTCTGACTTCTCTGTTCATTTAGTGTGGGGAAGATGTGCCGTGAAATCAGCCCCTTCTCTGTGTCGCTTAGTTCTCACAGTTGGGGGTGGGATGGGGGAATTAAAGACCAAAAGCAGCCTCACCACTGAGCCAGTAAACGCTGCCCAGTGAGCAGTAAAGGCTGTGGAGATGAGTGGAGCGGTCGGTGTAACTGAGAACAAGGTGACCGTGGTAGCAGTCACGCCCAGTGTGGTCTCCGAGGGAAAGACTGAGAGACCTACAGGAAGCAGAGAAGCTGGGGCGAGTCAGAGACCTCGTCGGATCCATAGTGACCAGAGTGGCTAGCACGGGGCTGGGAGGTGAGTGGCAGGCGGGGAGAACAGGAGCGGCTTTTAGGAAGTTGGTAGACACAGCACTACGATGATGTCACCTCCGATGCCTATGTGAAATGCAGGGTTGGAGTGTTTTTCAGTGGAGAAGTGGCAGTGGGTGGTCCCTTGAGATGCTTTACCCTATGACTTTTTGACATAAAAATCGTATTATCATCATACATATTCAGTAGAAACCATATTCACATTTAGAATTTTGACTCTCTCCCTGTTCTCGTGTTGCTGGACAGGGCAGGTCAGCAAGCAGTGTCTCCTGGCCAGCCACGTGATCCAGAGAGAAGCAAGGGACACAGCAGGACGCTGTGCTGTTGTTTGTGGGGCCAGGAGCTCGGGTGGATTCATGCATTTTTCCTTTACTTTCATTTGTGTGTGTGTATGTGTGCATGCAGTGTACTGTATGCATGTGGTATACACACGTGTGCCCACGTAGTCTAGAAAAAGGCATTGAATGTCCCACTTCATCATTCTTTACTTATTCCTTTGAGGCAGGGTCTCTCACTAAGTCTAATGATGAGAACAAAACCAGCAATTCCTCTGTATCTGTCTACTGCCACCTCCACCCCCACAGCAGGAGTGTGGCAAGCACATGTGTGAATGTGTCCAACATTTCCTATGGTTCTGGGGCACTCATGCTTGCACTGCAAGTACATTTACACAGTGAGCACTCTCCCAAATCCTCCATGCAGTGTCCATGTGTCTGTCTGACTGCCTGGTCTGTGTCTGTCTGTGCGCGCACTGCACACACGATTCACACACAGGAATGATGATAGGTGTGTGACCATGAATGTCCATGTAAAGGCCAGAGCAGGACATCAGGTGTCTGTCTGACTGCCTGGTCTGTGTGTGCATGTCTGTGCGCGCACTGCACACACGATTCACACACAGGAATGATAGGTGTGTGACTGTGAATGTCCACATAAAGGCCAGAGCAGGACATCAGGCGTCTGTCTGACTGTCTGTGTCTGTGTGTGCGCGCACTGCACACACGATTCACACACAGGAATGATGATAGGTGTGTGACCACGAATGTCCACGTAAAGGCCAGAGCAGGACATCAGGTGTCTTCTACCCTTCTCCACCTTGGTGTCTCTAGCTCACTGGTTCCCAACATTTGGGGGTCTCTATCAGATATCCTGTATATCAGATATTTACATTATGATTCCTAACAGCAGCAAAATTAGTTATGATGTAGTAACAGAATGGTTTTGTGGCTGGGAGCTATCACAACATGGAGGAAGTATATTAAAGGGTCGCAGCATTAGGAAGGTTGAGAACCACGCTCTAGATCACCAATCAGAAAATCACTCTCCTGTCTCTGCTCCCGGTGCTGGGATTACAGGCATGTTCAGCCATGTCTGGCTCTTTGCATGGTGGTGGAGATTAAAACTCAGGCCTTCATGCCTTCAGAGTGAACTCTTACACTGAGCCATCTCCCCGGGTCATCAAAGCAGTTTTCACTCTAAGTTTATCCTTACTCTTTACTGACTTGTGCTGGGCTTATGGCAATACAGGCCACTTCCAGTCAGTGAACATCTGCGTTGTAACCTGATTTTCAAATGACAACTGGCAGGACAAAGACACAAGCAGGCAGAGAAGTGGAGAGAGGCTGCAGGGTGCCACCCAGGGTGGAACACAGGGAACCACTGAGGAGTAGCTGACGTCAGGTGTGTTCTGAAGGGGAAACTAACAGTAGGCAGAGAGAGAGAGAGAGAGAGAGAGAGAGAGAGAGAGAGAGAGAGAGAGAGAGAGAGAGAGAAAGTGTTACCTGGGAACTGTAGAAGTAGCATGCATTCCTATAGATTGGGGTGGAGAACACTACAAGGGAAAGGGGATGGACTTGCAATTAAAAATGAGAAATTTGACTTTGTAAAAACATAGGCTAGCACCCTGGGCTGTCCAAATCAGATCACCAGCCACATGCAGGTATTGGAATTCCCACTTCAATGACTAAGCATTAAGTCACTCGGGTCAGCTGCGCTCACATTTCAGATATGTGGTGTCCACCCGCACACAGCTAGTGCCTGCCATCATGGACAGACAAGACTTAAGAGAGCATTCTTGCCATCACCATCCCAGAAATTCTATTGGGCAATACAGGTGGGGTCTTGAACCTTTACCATTATGCCAGACCTTGTGCTAACTGCTTTATACATGGTGCGTCTTAATATTTAAGGATGCTCCACGAGCCAGGCGGTGTTTGCTCCTTTGATGCAGAGTGTAACAAAGACTCACAGAAGGTAAGTCATTTGCTTTAAGTCACAGATTGCGAAGGGGTAGCGAAAAGGATTCCAGGATTAAGATAACATCCTGGATTCCAGCATAGTCCTTTAAAGTCCAAGCACTTACATCAACAAACTCTACTTAGAAATGCTAGGCCAGCGTGGAATGAGGCATTGTTTATACCATTACTGTCAATGACATGGAGGTAGCCAAGAAACCAGATCTGATGGACCCAGGGTCTCACATCCTTCAAGAGATTCCACGTGTTCCAGTACCAAATCTTGTACCACGCAAGTTCAATCATTTGAAAGGAAGAAAACAGTTGATGGGGCTCCTGGTTTTGTTTCCTGACTGATGTGAGGCAGAACAGAGGTGCCACAGAGTTAGGAGACGTTTGTTCTCCCTGTGATCTTCAGCTTGGTATATGGAACCTTAGCAGGCATCTAGAAACATGTGGAGAGTTTAGGCTACACCGGTAGGTGCCTGGGCTTTTGTAGCTGTAGCCTTGAGTTGCTAAGAGTGCTGGAATTCTTGCCACAATCTAAAACAAAGTCCCCTCACCCTAAATGCCAGCTGTTCTGCCATCTAAGAGATGTGGGTCTGGGGTGACACAGCAGTGGTGAGTCAGCTCAGGTGCTAGCACATGCCAGCTGGTAGCAGTCTGCGGAGATGAAGCCACCCCTGACCATCCTGACCTGCACTTGCTTGCAAGGCGAGGGAACATATCCTGGGCTCTGCACCTCCATTTGTTCATCTGCAACGCTGAAAACCAATTCACACACCCCTGCCAAACTGCTTCTGACGATCACTAATTAATACTTTAAGTACTTAGGCCAGAGTTTGGGTCAGAGAGAATGCCTAAGTCTACAGTTATCAGAAAACAGAAAAGGGGGTACAGGCATGGAGACCCCCTGAAAAAGAGATGACTAAACCATACAAAGCATTGTCCAAGGCCTGGGAGTTGCATTGCTCTGGAATCCAAATCCCAGCATGCCAGGTCCTGACTCCTCCCTGGGACGGTCAGGACCACACCCACAGGGTATTTAAGTGAGCTCCCAGAGGAGAGACACGTGGTTTTCAGGTCTGCATGGGCTCCCTGCTGTCCTGTCTCCCCGCCATGCGCTTGGCCACCCAAGAGCATCATTCTTAATAAAACGATGGGCATTTTGATCCGGTTTGATTTGACCTAATTGGATTTCTTGAGCAGGCGGAGCCGCCCAGACAGTTTCTCCATAGCTTTTGGTTCCTGTCCTGGAACTGGCTCTTGTAGACTAGGCTGGCCTCAAACTTACAGAGATCCGCCTGCCTCTGCCTCCTGAGTGCTGGGATTAAAGGCGTGCGCCACCACTGCCCGGTCGGAGCCGCCCTTTTCTTCTTATTTTTTCTTATCACATAAGGAGCTGGGTATAATCCCAGTGATCAGAATGAGGCTGGATTGCGGGCTCCCCAGTGAGATCCTATCTCACCCATCCCCCATTATCATTAAGATAGTGCACTTTTCATACCAGGGTTTTGAGATAAGACTATGTACAGTTCAACTCAGACTTGCCACATTTCTACTGCCCAGGAGGCACTTGCGGCTCATGGCTACTGGCCAGCATGTCTCTTTCTTAACACAGGGCCCTGTATGGAGCTGAGGCTATCACGACACTCATGGTCCAGCTTCTGAAGCACTGGTCTTACAGTATGACTCGGTGACTTCTGAGATGCCTGTCCTTGGTAGGTGGTCAGAGAAAAAGTCTGAGTTCCCTTAGGAGCTTTAGACTCTGTCAGCACATGCCAGGAAGAGGCTGTGCTGAGAAATGACCAAACACACTAAGAGGACATGGTGAAGTGAAGTGAGCTTTGCAACCCAGCTCTACTTCCCATGTCTTTGAACAAGTCAGCTAGTCAAACACCCAGCCCCTTATTTGCAGAATACAGGTAACAGTGTCAGCCCCTCTGATGTTGTGCAGGCAATGTGTACACAGAGATCTGTACCTATAACCTATTTCCTAAATGTGGGTTGTGGGTATTTGCATTCGAGCCTGAGAAATGCAAGAGAGCTTCACTAAACCTCAATTCTTCACATCTATCGTGCGCTTCTGATGTGCACAGAAGGTCCTGAGCACTGTGGAGCGCATCGTATTCTAACGCTGGGAGTGTTTCGCATTTGTCCAGTTTTCAGATTTTCTCAACCCAGAAAAGTTCTCAGTAGTTGAAGGTCCTCAGTATACTAAACGAATGTTCCACTGCAGTTTATGAATGTTGTACCTGCACCACCTGAAAACTATGAATTTGAAACCTTATACTCCTTTATAGTATAAGGTCTACGAAGCCATCTTTCAATAAGAATAGTCTCAAATTCTTGAGTTGACGCCAAGCTCAAAAACAGTATAAAACAAGCTTAAATGACTGGGCACGTATTCGCTGCAAAATAGCTGGCCAAGTCTACAAACTGCTGGGATATATTAGCCATAGGGACCCAGAAGAATAGCTCAGAGCCTTTCAATTCCTGATTGAATCACCAATTGGAGCACCAATTTCCACTACCTGGAAGAACACACGCACCGTGAAGTAGCACAAACACATTTATTTACTAACCAAAGGGAAGATCCCAGTTAAACCAACACTCTGACATGGGTTTCATGTAAAGTGCTGGTGATAAAGATGGTTGAACACAGTCATGAAAAATAAAACTGAAAAAAAAAAAAGCAGTGCAGATATTTATGACCTGCTCATTGAACTGAGCTCATTCACTCCTGTCCGGGGTGGAGCGGCATCCTCACTCCACCTTCTCATAGACCCGAGTGCAGGTGACATTGTTCATCACGCAGTCCTAGGAGAAGCAAGATACAAGTCAGGCTGGCTGTACACTGCAGGGCACATCACAGCCGGAATGCTGTAAACTCCTGTCTCAGGCCTTGCTGAAGGAGAGGAAGCATCTTAGGATTTCCAGACTTGAGGAGAGCTGGGACCTGCTGTTCTGTCTATAGGTACAGTTGCTATCCGGAAGACTAAAGCACGGACTAGGACCTCCAAATTACTCATTTGGTCTCAGCAAATATCTCTTACTTTAAATAAATGGAAGTGTGTGTGTGGTGCGCGCATGCACGCACGTATGGGCGCGGGTACAAGGGGCTGTTTGGCAGCAGGAAGAAACTGCTGCAGCTACACTCTGGGAATCCCTTCACTTCTCTGTCCCATCAAGGGTTACCTTAGTAATGAGTGCTCTGTTTTGAATTGCTATTTTGAATATTTTCTTCCTAAATCTCCTTCTCTCGTTAGAGACGCTACGGTGACCGTGGCTGCGAGCCCCCATCCCAGTGCGCCACAAGCAGTTCGGCACTCACCACCACCAGCTTTCCATCCTTCACTCTTCTGGTTATTGTGCTTTCCTTCCCGTCCCAGTTCTGGTGCTGGACCAGGGCACCGTCGGTGAAGGTGCAGATGGTCTGCAAAGACACAGGGTGCTCTACTCCTCCATCTTCCAAAGTACACGAGTTCCCAGGACCCACCCCCACCCCAGCACGTCTTCATCTTTCCCTTGGTGGGTCTACTTCATCCACCATCCCGATTTTATCCACAATCTATAAACTTTAAGATGTTTGCATCTCACAGTACTGGGCCTTTTACTGATTTATCAAAATTCAACTTCATAAAATATTTTTACACCAAGTTCTTGGCAATAAGTAAAGATGTCACTAATGCGAGCTAACCCGTCACTCTAGAAGCTTCTCTCAGTTCGCAGTGTTATAGCTGACCTGAGTTTTTCTGCCATCGGCTGTAGTTTCATCAAACTTCTCTCCCAGCGTACAAGAAAACTGTGTCGTCTTCAAAGTGCTCTCCGTTTTAACGGTGATATTGTTGCCGTCACACGAAATGACACAGTCTGGTTTGGCCATGGCACCCATCTTCCTAAGAGCCAGCCCTACTCCTGTGTAACGGGAAGTAACATACGGATCAGTTAAAACTTACACAACAGAAGCCACGATTGAGCCGTAATCATTTCATCTGCCTGGCCTATTCTCACTTGCTCGCTGACAAACACATATCCAGTGTTTGCAATATAATGCATGTAAGCCCCATGATCGTCCTGTGCTTGTGAGTGGGGATGGGGGTGTCTCCACTGGACTCGGGAGAGCGGGGCAAACACCTTTAGCCGGAAATGATAGAGCTGGGGGCAGCCAGTGCTGACAACATGGCTCTAAAACTCTATTAGCCACTGAGCTGTGCATCCTCAGAATGTCAGGCAAGACTTTATCCGTAACTAAAGCAGTTGACATAGGCCCAGGCATGGTGACACCCAGAGCTGCAGGCAGGAGGATCAAGAGTTTGAGGTCAACCTAAACTGCATAGGAACCTTGTACTGAAAACAAAACAAAATTAAAAAGCAGTTGGGAGATGATGAAAATAAAATATTCGGAGTTGCAAACTTAGGGCCTAGTCCAGTCCTGCTGTACACCAGGTTCTCTCCGCCACTGTATTCTCCAGCCAGCACACAGCAGGCCCCTGGTAAACAGTCAACAGACCACAAAGAAAAGAAAGGGGGGGGGTCAACCCTGAGGGACTCAAATAGTACAGTACGGAACGCAGCCGTGATGTTAGGTGGAGGAGCACCCTGGGAAAAAGCTGTGCAACAGCATTCTATCTGCCTGGTTAGACTCCTGTGCACTGTGCACCCGCCAGTGCACTCTGACTCCTGTACTACCTGTCCTATTTGACTATCTGGCTGGTTTTTATCCTGTGTAGTCTGTTATTTACAGCAGTTACACAGGTATGAAATTTCACATTGCTGGGTTAGACATTAGCTTCTAATGTATGTATTTGCCCTTGGTGACAACATTCATAAAGAACCTGAGATGTTTCACAAGAGAGGAGATAATGACCCAGGCCGAATGACGGCTCCTGTGTTCCCAGGGTCTTCCTGCCGCTCTGCGCCCCTTGCCCAGTGTCTATGGGTCAGGCCTTCCTAACTCCAGAATCCCGAGAGCCAGCCACTCAAGCATAAGCACCCAGTTCCTTGCCAACAGTGCTCTCTGCTGGTCCTCACTCACGCTTGTGCAGTCTGGGCGAGGCCAGCAAATGGCCCTTTCCAGACTCATGCTCATTTACTCCTCCACTGGGTAAAAGAAAAAGGACAAGAGCCTGCGTTCACATTCTACTGACAATATTACACATACAAGCATGATTCATCAGAGCCGGGCTTAACCCCGCAGTGCTGGATACTGGCTAAAAGAGAATGAAGTCTGGTTCTGAAGTGTGCAGGGAGGTGTCAACAGTGTCATCGGGACACTGGGGACAGCAGCCTCGAGAGCTGCCTCCTCATCCCAGCACTACCTTTCCGGAGAGAATCCCTGTTCAGCTAACTCCATCCCACTTCCTGGCATCTGGGACAAAGGTCCGTTTTGTTTGTCTGCTCTATGTGTCTACATGTTATCCCTCTCTTAAGAGTAGGCAACAGAAAACGAAGCACTATTTCCAATGAGACTCAACTTGAACCTTGCTCCCTCTTGGTTAGGTTTTAAGTGGCAAGTGGCTACTACAAGACCACACCCATCGTGTAGCAGTGAGCAACCACAGGCCAGCAGTTTCTGATTATGGTTTTCCAGCCAAGCCCACGGTCTCCTCGTTCCTAACCCTCCTGACTCACAAGACAGAACAGAAAAGTGGCTGGGCTACAACCGTGTACAACGGGTTTCTCCGTGCTTTGCCCATAGGCCACCAGCTACCCAGAGTTGTGTCCAGAGTGAGCAGAGCCAGCAGCCGGTCCAGCGCCGCGGGAGCCACGCCTAGCCAGGGGCGAGGAGAGAGCCTGAGAGATGCTGCATAGAAAGAGATCTGAGCAGCATCCTTATTCACAGACTCTAAAGGGCTTCCGCAGAAACCACGCCCTACCACACGGTGTCCCTACAGAGATGGGGGAAGGGGACTCCCGCCATCTAGGAACAAAAGATGCAGCAGGGTAGGAAAGGGGAGTGGGTGCTGCCACGATGGGGGCAGGTGGTGGGGCACCAGGTGAGGATAGTTAGAACAATAATGGACCGTTGAGGGGGTTCATCTGTAGGGGGACCATAGCAGGACGGCTAGCACGCGCCCCTGCAAGACCGGAAGCAATGGGGGACTGCCTCGTGGGCGAGAAGCAGAAAAGGAGAGAAGTGGGTAGTTCACCACGTCCGGAGCCGAGCAGCAAAGGCGCGCACCCATCCTAACAGTCGCGTGGTGCTCCACGCAGCTCCCCGGGCCGCGTGGTGGAAGGGGATGCCTGCACGTGGAATGAGAACCCAGGGGTTCGGCGATGTGTCCTCACCTAGCTCCTTCATGTATTCCTCAAAGCCTTGGCTTTCCGTCAGGCGCCACCTCCCCTCGAGGTCCTTAATGCTGGCCATGGCGGGCGGGCAAGCATGAAAGCAGCAGCAGGGAGAACGCGGTGGCGGGGGCGCTGTGCGGCTCCGGGCTCCACCGCGGCTTAAATCGCCTTGCAGTGGGGAGGTGCCGGACAGCCAATAGGAGATGCGCATCACCCGGGACCGCCCCCTCGCCACTCCCCGGCCCCCTACGCCGGGGCCGTGCCTGGGGTCTGTAGGTGCCACCCTGACTGCGCCCGACAGTGAAGTCACGCGTCTCCCGCAGCTCCTGCAAGCTGCGACTCGCCTGGCGCGCCCTCCTCCTCCGCCAGTGACGCTCCGGCACAGTCCCGCACGTCCGCTCGCCCAGGAACCCCTCCCCCTCCCCGGTACAGCCTGGACCCCATGGACCTGCGCGCCATGGCCCTACCGCCCTGCCGCCGCCCGTTTGCTTTTGCCAAGTACTCCAGAGGAACTAATTAGCCAACGCCTGGCTTATGGGCATTGATTGGCTGATTAGTAAGTTGATTGATAAACTGCAGTGTCCTTAACCTTGACAAACCTACGTCCTACTCCCTCTAAAAAGAACCTGCTGACCCCACCCTCCCGACTTCTGGGCCTCCTCTTGGGTTGTCTGCCTGAGTTGAGCTAGACAATCTTAGCAGCAGCTGCTGGGTGAGATTAGAATGACTTTGGAAATTCGGTTTCTCCACTCAACTGTAGCAAGTTTCAGCTTAGGTGACTGCCATTGTCACTGAAGAGTCTTATCAGTTTTTCTTCCCCTAGAAGGGGTCAAAACGAGTCCTTCCTTCATCCCTGGGGGGTTTTGGTGGAGCTATGAATTAGCAAATTACCTCGAATACTTTGATATATAAAAATCCTGTTTTATCACTTTGATATGCATAGAAGTCCCACAAAATGCGAGGCTCCAAGGACAGTCAGGTGACAGGAGCTGTAAGATCCATGGCTTCCCAAGCCGACCTAAGAGTCTGGAGCATTCAGGAAGACAAAGGGAGCATGTGAGACAGTGTGGAGAGGAACCTTATGGTGAACAAAGTTTATGGAGAGCCAACTTAAACAGGGTCTCTTATAGCCTAGACTATCCTTAAACTTCCTATGGAGCCAAAAGGGACTTTGAGCTCCTGATCATCTGTCTTCAGCTACCAAGTGCTGGGATTTCAGGCATGTCCAACATACCCTGCTAAAGTTGTCATTACACAGGGAAAATCAAGAATAAAATACACACGTGGTTAGTAAAAGTCCACCACACAACTATTGATTTTCCTTTTCAGTGCAGAATTTAAGGTTACCTGTGCTATTCCATGCTTTGTTATGGCGCAGGTTTGTATTAGACAGTTTTGTCCAACTATGGGTTAATGTGAATGTCCCGAGTCTACTGGAGGGCAGCTGAGCCCCGATTTTCACTAGATTGTGTATATACAATAACTCCAAATGATTTCATTCACAGATAAGGCCCTCTGAATGGAGGTGCATCTGCACTTCCCTAATCCTGATTTCTCATCTGAGAAATGACCCAGGAGCAAAGGGTTTGCTAAGGATCCCCAGCACGCACATAAAAACTGGGAGCAAGTGTCTGCGACCTCAGAGCTGAGGGATCAGAGACAGGCAGATTGCTGGCCTTCCTGGTACAGCCAGTCACGTGTCAAGTTTCAGGTTCAGTGAGCGACCTTGTCACTTACAAAGCAAGGCAGAGAACAACTGACAAAGACTACTGTCGCCAGCCTCTGGCTCCTACCCAAGTGTGTACCCGTGCAGGGTGTTCATGTGCACACTCATGACAACATAGTTACAAGTTTCTTTGCCTTAACATCTCCTCAAAGCTAGTGGAGAGGCTTCAGATGCTCAGACTAGCTCAAACTATGCCAGACATGTATGAGGATGCCGTATTTTCCTCCGCTGAGGTCATATATTGCTGTGGTGTGTCCTGAGCCCCTCAGTTCCCTTCTTGCTCTGGTAATATTCTCTGTGCGTGGATTGTGGATCTTCTCAGAGTGTCATTTTCACAGAGTCCCACTGGCTGCTCCCATGCCTCACTGAAGGCCAAATGGACTGAAATGTAAATGTTGCCACACAGACCAGCTGTTGCCGTGGAGACAGTGTCAGTTTATTGAGTATCTACTATGCACTACATGGTCTTTCCTGGCTTTACATCCCTGAACCCTAATGCCCACTGATTGCTGAGGCGGGTTATCCCAGTTTGGGGGAAGAGGAAATGAGGTAAGGAAAGTTGGTGCTGTGGAGTTGTAGAACCAGAACCTGCTTCGAGGACTTTCTCACGAAAGACCTTGTGAAACAAGACCGCACCTGCTTTCTTTTGTTCGTGGCGCTTGCTCGTAAGGGAGGTGAGAGCAGAGGCCAGAGCCACTCTGCCAAGATACTAATTATTGTATCATCTCTCACACAACTAAAATCCAAAAATCATCTAGCGTGCTGCGAGAAATTCCCTGGCCTGCATTCCCTTTATTACCAGTTATGGCTCCATCTTTCGGGTTGGCAGCCCAGTTCCCATAGCCCTGGTGACACTGACTTGACCTGTCACTGTTCCATAAGGCCTGAGTACCTACACCTGAGAGCCCATTGCTCAGAAAGCAATGCTCGGAAGGACACTAAGCACTGACTCCCGGGAAAGCACTGGCGCTTCTGGATTGCCGTCTGGCCATCTGGCCGTCTGGCCGTCTGGCCGTCTGGCCGGCGGCTCCCCGATGCCTCTACGCCAGCTCATCAGGGGCTGTCTCACGTGTGTCCTCCAGTGTTGGATCCCGTATAGTGGTGATAGCCAAGCTTCAGTATCAATGTATAATTTTTGCTCTGAAGAGTAGAACTAATTCTTGTGTAGTTAAATACATCTTCATGTCTGATGCGATCAGCAAGGCCTTGTTTATTGCTGTGTCGCCAGGGTGAGACAAGCAACATCTGGACGCTTCCCATGAGCAGCTGAGGGTTAAACTACATACATATATAAACTGTATACACAAATACAGTTCATCTGAGATTCTTTTTGCTTAATTTGTTCCTATCTATAAATTCTTTATCAATTTCTTTGACTTTGTATAATAACAATAAAACATGATAACACATTGCAGGAGATTTAGGAAATACAGGAAAGCATAAAGGAAATAAGAATTGGTCTATAAGCCTACTACTCAGATAACTAGAGAAATCCACTATTTCCTCCCAATGCTTTACCAGGGGTATGTGTGTGTCTGTGTGTCCATGTGCATGTGTTGTGTGAATATGTGTTTACAAAACCATACTGTAACCATAACATTTGCACACCTTTATCCCGTGGGTTTCCTAATTTCATACATGGTTCCCACACTGCAAGCACTAGCCGTGTCTGTCTCCAGCAGCAGCACCTGAGCACACGCTAGAGCGTGCAGCTCCTCACAACGCAGGTGCTGTTGGCTTTCTTTCCAGCATACTGAGCCCTCTGCGCCAAGTTCAAAGTCTGCCTTTGAAACAGAAGTCGTCCACAAGCCTGTGGGGATGTTCAGATTCCCACACATCCCTGGCCCACAAAGTTCATCCTTAGCCTACAGGGCCTTCTTGGGTGTGAGTGGGTTTGTAATTTCTTAGGTACAATCAACCTTGATCTCTCAGGAGCAGTCAGTCAGTGCTGTCTGGGCTGGTGGCTTTAACAGGGTGCACACTTCCTTTTGGAATGAGCCCAAGTTAATGATCAAATCTGAAGAGGCCACCAAGAAATCCATGTCACAGGCCTTAGACACTTATGTCACCCAAACAAGGAATGATAGAAACTCAGTTCTGAACATCTAGTTTTCTTCTTTGGAAACCATAGTGCTTGTGTCGCTGGGAATACCCAGCCCTTCTCCAAAACAGCTGCAGGAAGTTAAAAACGGTACTGTACGCACGGAGATAAATGAAAGACGGAGAATTTCCAGCAGCTTTTCCTTTAATCACCTGAGAACAGACGAGTCAGAAGCAACGTTTGCCCTGTCTCTGAGCCCCAGCTTGGGAAATGCTCCCACGATAGCTCATGGCCCTGAACAGCAATGCTCAAATCACTCTGTTTCCACCTAGTGGTGGGAGTGAAATACTCCTCCCGGGCTTTATTTGATTAGCACTGGTGGCCTCTTGTGTTCACACTCAACAGACATGGGTGTGAAGCTTTGGAGCACAGTGTGTGATTTCATTGACAGACACCCCAGCTGCTGTTGGTGTAGGCAGATGTAGCTTCCACAAGGTTCATTCTTCTATATAACAGTTCCTAAGGGCAGTAAGTATCAGTGGCCTAGCATGCAGGAGATGGGGAGGAAAGAGGGAACACCATGTTACTTATACCACGGAATACCCACGTGATTCATGTTTAATTGATACACGTAGAGGAGACTTAATCATCTTCTCTAAGTGTCTGGCAAGAAAAACATTTAAAAGCCTAAAAGAACCAAGTACAAAGCAGGAGGGATCTCAGTATAAATGACACTTCTCCAATTGTAGTGTCCGGGCCAGGCTACATTCGCTAGACTGTTCTTCAGATTCAGTGGGTCCAGAGCTGGGTCTGGCATTATTCACATCTACTAATTCTCACTAGCAGTGGAGCTACCGGCCCAGGGACTGTCCTCAGGTAGCAGGTAGTAGAAGACTCCTGAATCCATACACAGGGCCTTGGCCACTTCAGTTTGTTAAATAATTTTATTATACTGCTACAAAACGGCCTCTGATTATATCCTCATACCCTTATGTGAAACTATGATCAGCTTTCTCCGTCTGTGCACTCCACGTACAGACATTTGCCCGATGGAGACGAGAAATACTCGAGGAAAATGAGTCTCGATTCAACTTCTAGAGATTTTTGTCTTGTCACTATTCCATAAACAATGTAATATACTTCTTGTTTTTATGTTTAAACACCAAACTTTATTTTAGGTATAACAACATGGCTTACAAGTTAAATAATACCATAACAGAAGGATTTGATGAATTTTAAATAGAATAAAAAATGGGGGATCTTCAGGTTACAAAATCCCTCCCCAAAACCAAATTTTAAAAATCACCTTTTTGGGGGCTGGTGAGATGGCTCATGGTTAAGAGTACTGGCTGCTCTTCCAGAGGTCCTGAGTTCAATTCCCAGCAACCACACGGTGGCTCACAACCATCTGTAATGAGATCTGGCATCCTCCTCTGGCGTGCGTGCATACATGGGAGCAGAATGTTGTATACATAATAAATAAATAAATCTTCAAAAATCACCTTTTCTAAGTGGGTTGATGGGACACATGTTTTCATGACTAGCTAGTTAGGGCTCACTCCTATTGTCCTCATGATCATTGCAACCGAAAAACCCAGCCCCAATAACACATATTGGCTCC